TTTTAACAAGAGAAAAAGTTATTATACCAGAAAGTGGATTGTGTTGGGAAGAGGTCAGAAAATAATATTAAAAAAGTGGTTTATGTTGGGGAAGTGGTTGTCAGGAAAATATTGGCAGGCAAAAAGCTGTTAGGCAAATAGTTGTCAGGCTAATGATATAGAACCAGCAATTTAGAATTATTTGCTTACTAGGGAAATATACTTTAGGTAATCGTACTATGAATCATAATTATAATAAATATGATGTTGATTCAGAAATTTAAGCTATTTAAGCTATAATGACTTCGATTTTAATTAGAAAGTGTGAAAGGATATTTTGTTGTATTAAAAAAACTTGATGATATAAAACTAGACAATGTGTGAAATAAAAAGTGCATTTTGTCAATTTCCAATTTCTAATTTTAAGTTTCATCAAATAAATGATAATGATGTTAATATATATTTGTATTAGTTTTATATTATCAGTATCATGAAATAAATTTCAAGTTTGTAAGTTTCATCTTATTCAACTAATCTAACTGGCTATGTAAAAGGCTTGACCTGTTATGATCTGGCAAGAAATATACATCCAAGATCAAAACTTAATAGTGTTAGGAACATGTAGTATAGTCATAGAAGGACATTCATCTGATTGGCTAATGTAAATCAATTGCTCGGGTAACTTATTTATACTTTTTAGTTTCACTAACAAAAAATCACCGTAAAAGCTATTTTTCACTTTGATAGAATATTTATATTCACTATGTAAAAATAATCAGTAATTATTAGTATCCCACAAACTTTACTTAGAAGGCAAAATATGTCTACGTTTATTGGACCATATTAAATTATACTGTAAAGTGAAGGTAACTAGAAATGTTTTCAGCTAAAACTATTTTATTATGTTGGATTTAAATAAGCTTTTATTTTTAACTATTTAATTTGAATAGGTACAAGCTCTTTAACAAGAAGGTCTGGCCTTAATATTTAAATTTGGTCAGTTCTTGCAATATGTTTGAGCATGTCAACTGTGAATTAATAGTTAAAATTTTAATTTATATCATATTTAATAGTTTGGGTTTATTAGTAATAAATATCTTATTTACCCACTTTACACATATCTATGTGTTGGGAACTTGGTGATGTTGAGAACTTGATTCTGAATGTCAGAATCTTAGTAGTGTCAAGATTTTGGCTGTATCGGAATTTTGCTGGGATTTTGGTTGTATCAGGATTTTAAGTGTTGGGATTCTGAATGTTTGAATTCTGAGTGTCGAGATTCTGAGTTTTGGGATTTTGTGTATCAGAATTCTGTGTGTTGGGATTTTGTAGTTTAGGATTTTAGTATTGGGATTCTGTGTTTTGGGATTCTGCATTTCGGGATTTTGAGTATCAGGATTCCATGTGTCTGGATTCTATGTTTCGGGATTTTGAGTATTGAGATTTTGTGGTTTGGGATTTTAGTATTGGGATTCTATATTTCGGGATTTTGAGTATAGCGATTCTGTGTGTCAGGATTCTGAGTGATGGATTTTGAGTATCGGGATTTTGTGTATCAGGGTTTTGAGTGTCAGGATTCTGTGTTTCAGGATTTTGATACTGCCAAGATTTTGTTAGTATCGGGATTTTGGTAGTGTCAAGATTTTGGTAATTTCGGGATTTTGAGTGTTGGGATTTTGTGTATCGAGATTTTAATATTGTCAGGATTTTGTGTATCGGGATTTTAATATTGTCAGGATTTTAATTTGTCAGGATTTTGAGTATCAGTATTTTGTTGCCGGGATTTTGGGTGTCGGGATTTTGTGTGTCAGGATTCTGATATACAACCATATTTCTTGTGTATTCGAATAAAGGGAACAAAGAGCAGCAACGCTAATTATTTGGTTGTTTTTCTGATGGGCAAGTGAATATGATTTTTTTTTTTCTTTATAAATGTCAAGTATAAATGGACAATATGGGCGCTCATCAATAGAAAAGGGGGAAAAAGTTTCTAAGTAAAAGTTTTTTAAACTTTGAATTAAAATATATATTCCAATAACCACTAAACTAAATTTGATAATTTTTTTTTATATTTTAATTATATATAAAAAATATTTTATTTAATTTGATTTAGTAGTTAGGCCATGCAAAATTAATTAATTGGTTTTCATAACCCGGCCGGGTCAAAATTTGAAAACTTTAAAAAAAATTTTTTATAGGTTTTAATAACCAGGTAGGTTTTGAAAAAAATTTTTATATAAATTTTATAAAATTTTATATATGAATTTAAAAAAAAAAAAGCCGGCCGGCCGGGTCTATTTAAAAGTTTCATGTTATGAAAACCAAGTAATTAAATTTGTATGGCCTTATTGATCTATTTTAATTTAAAATTTAAAAAAAAAGTGGTAAAAACTTTTTACCCCTTTTCTACTGACGAGCTCCCATATAGCACTGCCAAAAAAAATTTAATAAACTTTTATATTTATCCTACTATTAGATTAAGCACTGTATTAGGGTCTCTCTAATTAAATATAGAATCGGCTTAAGTTGCTTTCAAATTTCGTATCAGCTTTGACTACATTTGGAATTCCGTTCCAACCTAAGTGGATTCTCAATCTACAATAATTTCGTTCCGACGTACGACATATATACATACATAATTTCAATTTGAAATACAATACGTATTTATATATATATAAAAAAAATATATCAACCTAAAACATAAAAAATAAAATAATATTTGATAAGTTAACATAGTGCTTTCTCTTTGAAGCATTACAAAAACCTACTAGATTGCTCTCTTAGGTTATGGTTATCACAACTGTATATTAAATGTATTTAAAAGCCGACCTAACGGTCATGATAGTATAAGAATTATTAAATTCATTAGGTCTCTGTAAATAATATTTAATTATGTTGAGGAATTCAATAGATGTCCTGTTACATTGATGAATTCAACATCATAAATAATATTTATGATGTTGAATTGTAGACTTTTCTTAATTCATCGGTTTTAATCTTCATCAATGTAACAGGACATCTATTGAATTCCTCAACATAATTAAATATACACGTGTAACAAAAGACATAGCCAGATGGGATCGCAGTCGGATTCATTAGTTGCGAAGAGCAAAGAGGACAAATATTAAGAGATTCAGGAAGTGGAATACCACGTGGATCAGGCTGTCAATAAATATTATGACATATTAGTAAATTTTGGAGGTTAAAAATAAGAGAATGGCTTTAAATTTACCGGCACAATGTCTGGTGGCTGTATATCAATATCATCGCCATTACCAGAACGTTTAGAAAATTCACTAGAATACCACCATTCCAAAAATTTGAAAAAGAAAATAGACATTGGTAATAAGATTTTAAGAAAATCAAGTCCTCGATAAAAAATCATTGCTAAAATATAACGGGTAGCTTGAAGCTTCGTCATATCTCGGAAATTGGCCAAATGACGTGATTGATTTTGATGTCTTATATGCTTGCGCTACAGACGATAAGTAAAGCCACATAAAAATTATGGTTAATAATTAATGTATTCTAAAACAATTATTACACATATATAACATACATAATCCTCTGCGTTCATTCTTCGTATTTGAATGCCTATAAGTTTTAACCAGGGCGTATGAAATGGCGTTTTATCATACATATAAGCGATATTGTATAATAAAATCGACCCATTGTATAAAGCATTTGCCCACGGGTAAAAATACTTGAAAACACGACATAGAGAACGGCGTATACGTTCTTTACGAGAAACCTGATGATAAATATAGTTAATCATTTCTTTTCCGATCAATTTTCACCTTTTTTTTTGTTCTTTTTTTTGAAATTTAAACCTGAATGTGTTGCCTTTCATTGATATTCTCTCTAATAAAAAATGCACCACCCAATAATCTCGCACCAGCTCCTCCACTAATTTTTTCATATAAATTATCGAGTTTAGCCTTGACATATGGGACGCAAATCTAGAATCAAAGAGATCAATAAATTCATAAACAATGATGTTTCATAACCCGATAAATAAATGTGAAGTTTTATCTTACCAACACAAATAAGGATTTCCAAATGTCAATATTCCTTAACTTTTGTAGTTTGGTATCTGGTATTGCGTCAGGCAAATTTAATTTAGGTCTTAAAAGCCTTGTTCTTTTTAATCCATAAAAATTTTCGAAAAATGATGCATCTAATTAAGAGTTTATACGTGAATTTATAAATATATTTTTTTTCCTCTTTGAAGCACAAAATAGAAAAATTACCTACTCCATTCTTCCAAATAGTGTTTTTCAACGAACAACATCATAACAGCATATAATTCATCGAATCGATTTACCAATCTGAGTAAATATCTTGGATATCTTTGTGCAAAAACCTAATCAAAAAAGTCCAATTATTTCTTTTTTTTTTTGATTTTACCGGAACTGAGCTTACCGATAAAACATATCTAACAGCAGGCTGAATCATTTCCTGTATGCTTTCTTGTGAAATAAGTTCAAATATTGAAGGTCGATAGGCATCGATACCGGAACCAATGTCGCTCATAAACTCCATAGTTGAGGACTGTCGAATTGCGTCGGGTAGAGAAGAGTAATAAAATCATTATATCACTTAGAGAGGTGATATAAGTGTTACGTGACGATTAACTTTGAGAATCTAAAAATAGTAAAAAGTTACGATAGTCCTTGAGCTGACCCGGCCTTTTTTTTGCACACAAATTCTCGGCGTTTCATATCTCGTAATTCTTTTGACAGTGAAAGACATTATCTTTCTGAACAACCTTCTTTTTTCCTCGCACTTATCAACGGTGAGCGCTATAACTGTTGTAGTGTGCTCTTCCCATTCCTTCATTTCGCGCTTTAAGTTGAAGACAGGAATTTTATATTTTAATAGTAACAAGATTTTCACCGATTCATGCTACTTAATTCGCGTTCTTTATAACCTAGATCAATTACACTTCCCTACTTGTTCTAGTTGTGCTCTAGTCAACTGACTCTTAAAATAAAACTTAGAAAATAAAGAATACATATATAATGGGAATTTGCCTATCTTGTTTTTTCGGAAGTATGTCGTAAATATTTGTATATAAGATCACTGGTGCTGTTACTGAGTTTTCACAATCTTACAGAGAGGTCGAGGGGTGGATTGTATGAACCTTTGTTACTGGAGAACGAACGTGAAGCTGTGGCTGATTTACTAACATATCTAGAAAGTAAGGCGTATATGCATTGTTAATGTTCTCAACCGGTGGGATGAATTTTTTCTCAGATTTGTATTTTTATTGCTTTCTAGATCGTGCGGATACCAATTTCTTCGAAGGAGATCCATTACGTGCGCTTTCAACATTAGCATATTCTGACAACGTGGATTTACAGAGGTCTGCAGCATTAGCCTTTGCGGAGATAACTGAAAAAGGTTTTTTTTTCTTTTCTTATTTGAATATTATTCTTAAAAGATGCGTTTTAATTTGGTTTTCTTTGCTTGTCTGAATCAAACCAATCGTCCCAAGAAGATGTCAGGGAAGTGGACCGCGAAACTATGGAGCCAATAATGTATCTTCTTCAGTCTCATGATGTAGAAGTTCAAAGAGCAGCGTCGGCAGCACTGGGAAACCTGGCAGTAAACAGTAATTATTCGTAATAATGGATTTAAATTGATTCATATAATCCTTAATCCTACATCGTTTTGTCAAGTAATTATCTCTCCTATTCGTTCTTTTAGCTGAGAATAAACTGCTCATAGTTCAAATGGGTGGATTGGAACCATTGATTCGTCAAATGTTATCGCCAAACGTCGAAGTTCAATGTAACGCTGTAGGATGCATTACTAATTTGGCGACGCATGGTAAATTTATATATCATCATATATACAAAATGCTAAGTCTCACATTTTACGATCATGTGTAATTCTCAGACGAAAATAAGTCAAAGATTGCAAAATCAGGCGCACTGGTTCCACTTACACGTTTAGCTCGTTCGAAAGATATGCGTGTTCAAAGGAACGCAACGGGAGCTTTGTTAAATATGACGCATTCAGGTAAATTTATTGATTTATCAAAATTTTATTCATTTGATATTATTATTTTAACAGTAGTCTTTCCTACGTCTTTGCCACATATCTAGATGAAAATAGGCAACAACTTGTTAACGCTGGTGCTATACCTGTTCTAGTTGGTCTCTTGAATTCACCAGATACAGATGTTCAATATTATTGCACTACTGCACTTAGTAACATCGCTGTTGATGGTATGTTCAATTAATTGTACATGTCACCCTCACTAAACTGGAGGGACTATCTTATCAGTAAAAAAGCACAAAATTTACCGTCTAGCTCTGTATACAGTACCCGGATCTTATTTAAGAACTCCATTTTTTAAATTGAATAGTATTGTGTGAGGAACTGGGTACTAAATGTAGGAGATATATCATAATTATTGTACGGGTCTTATGTGACAACCCGTGCTTTTTTCATTTGGTTATTGCACGGGATTGTTACGTCAGACAC